AAAATATTTTTAAAAAACGTCATTTTTGGGACCTGTTGTTTTTGATTTTTTAAAAATCCAATTTTTGAGATACAAAACGACCCTGAAAATCCCAGGTCGCTCGCTCAATTCGTTTTCGAGTTTTCGTGCGGACAGATACACAGACACACAGACAGACACACAGACAGACAGAAAAAGTTTTTTCCGACCAGACGGAGTAATAGGCTTCGCTAATCGCTCAGCCAATAATATTTAGAAGTTAAAGGTACCCTCATATGTGAAGAGTTAACCTCGCTAGCCAACACTCACATGTGAAGGTAGATTTGGGCCAGCGGGACTTGCGTTCTGGCGGCCCCAATCTACCTTCACATGTGAAGGTGAAGTACAGAGGTTAAATAAAGGTACCCTCACATGTGAGAGGTTTTTAAAACAAAAGTAATGAAACAGCACAGCAGTCAAAAGCAACTTCGTTTGATGTTCTTCAATTTTTTTTCTGCGCTTCCGCCTTAAGTTTGTCACACTGACATCGTCTTCCATGTCAGACATGTGATCAGCAGTATAGCAATGATGGTCATTGTCCTGGACTTTGCATCAAAATGTTCACCTCTAGAACCAGACTTTGATGGGTCTTATTGTCAGATCTCCGTGAAATTTTAAACACTTTTTGCTTTTACATTGCTATGTCAATCATCACTGGGAAGCACCTCTCAGATGGTATTCATCATTTGACATCTTTCCCTACTCTAATCTACTTACTCCCGTCATCTTGCTTTCTAACATTAACCCACTGCACTGTAAAATGCTTGCAAAGAATTTGTTTGTATCTCAAACTATTTTCCTTGCGAGTTGCAAAGAATTTTGAAGCACAGCATAATGAACCAGTTCTTTGTAAGCTTGTGAAATATTTCTATGCAAAGAATTCCTTTCAATGCGAATTAATTCTTTGCAATGCGAGCATTTTATATTATTGGTACTGTTATCTTGTAAGTTTAGAAACAAACCTGGACGGTATGGTAGAAGGCATTATCCATTATTATGAGGGTTGGCCTGGTGAAGTTGGCGAGCATATCCTCTTTAAAGTGCCTGTTAAACCTTTCACCATTCATGTCTCTGTGGTAGTCCACATCAGTCGTGGATGACGCCTCGCAGAAACCAGCACCAGAAACAAAGCCCTCTGCACCACCTGTATGGCTGATTAGAGACCTTCTCCCCAAGGATGAACCCCCCTCCCGCCTACAGAATGACCTGGGGTCCTCATTTACCCAGGACCTTGGCTTCATTCCACTTCCACGGAGGAAGGTCCAGGTCTCATCCTGGTAAACCTCATATAGCCTGTTTTCTGATGTGAAAGTTTCATAGAACTGGCGCAGGAAGTTGTGGCGCTTCATAATTGTCCTGGGCTTTTGAATGAGATGCCTTTTGCCATCATCTATTACAAAATCGAATCCTAGTTGGTAGAGCAGTTCTCTGAGGGATTCAGCACCACCCGCCCGTGGTACTTGTTCAGCCCTGAAAAGATTCACAAAAATCAGTATAAATGGCAGTATAAAACAGGGCTCTGTAACTTCTCAGAACACAAATGAATGTTAGTTACTCAACGTAACAAACCACATGTCAAATTAAAAGTTATTGGCGTTGTAATTTTCTTATGATTTCTTTTTGCTTGTTTGCCGCACGACTAACAATGTACCAGCAAGCCACAAAAAAAGAGACAAACTAAGATCTGAGCATTGGTATAAATAAAGAATCTAGGTGACAAACAAGGCAAGCGGAGACTTCAAAACAAAAACTCAAAGGTGCAGAAGAGAAAGGGACATCGAAACGCACTACTTGTTCAACTAAACACAACACGGAGTGATCAAGAGTGCTATGAACTGTCATACATTATTTCTGCCAGAAGCAGTTTCAGCGTTATGTGACGTCCTGCAACAAAAATTATCATCATGGTAAGGGATTTAAGGGAGAATACTCTGATATTGCAATAGTTTAATATGTGTTGTGAGCATGGTCATGCTGATTCTGTTGCCATCAATAAATTTTAGCTGTACATTATTTAATTTTTTACTACCTATTAATTTACATATCTATTCTTCAAATCTATTTCGAAAGCATAGCTGACACAGTACCATAATGAGGTGTCTATTACAACAAGTACAACTGCAATTATTTTCTCTTGATTTAATACAGCAGTTACAGTCACAGTGACAAATTAAATTATTATTTTTTATTGTCTCCCTCCTCATGCAGCAACAGTTGCAGTCGCAAGAGTTTCTGCCCTCACAACACACGGTATAGTTTCTTGTATTTCAAGACCTGGTTTTGGATGCCATTGGCGTTCTCCCTTAGATCCAAGACCGGGTCTTGAAATACAAGAAACTATTTTTTTCCGTGCAGTCAGTATTGTTGAGATCATCCATTTTGGCCTCGCGCATCGCCGCGACGGTGATGGTGGGTTGAGCCTCGGGGGTAGAGTCCTGGGCTGCGCGTGCGGGGCGGTCGTCGACAGCGGCCTGCCGGAGCCCCGCACCGAACCACTGGCGCTCTCCCGTTAGCCCAAGGCGGCTGTGAACAGGCTGTAAGGGAAAGAGTCGGACAGTGCCAAGGACACATGACGCAGGAGGAGAGGTTACCCCGCGGGGGGCGATGTAACGCCGGCCACGCCACGCGCCCCGACTCCGGCTGAACCCGAGCGCAAGGCGGTTGTCGTCGTCGTCCTCCGCACCGTCCTGCTCCTCACGAACGCCGACCCGCTCATGTACAGGCTGAACAGACAAACAGAGGTTAAGGCGACATCCAACTTGCATCGGCACTGAGCTAAAAAACGAGGATACTTACACGGCGGGGCATGGGAGCCATGATGGCTATCCTGCCGGCGAACTCGCGCCCGGCCTCTTTTGCTATCTTCTCCTCGGCCATTGTAGGGCGCGACGAGGGGCCTGCAGCGGCCCAGCAGTGCCTCCAAAAGGGCAGGCTGTTGCGGGCTCAACGCATCATGCTCGCAGGTGAAAGAGTCCGCATGGTAGATTGACAAGCCCGCACGAGCCCGCACAGTTTTTCAAGTATAAAATTTTCATATTATTCCTAATTAAATTGATTTTTTGCCTCGACATATCTAAAGAATGGCATCCAATAGTAAGATCTGTCAAGGCAAAAAATCAATTT